GGGAAGATAGACAAGTCCTGTTTCCCGCGGTTGGCATGTACCTGAACTGTATCACTGCAAGCGCATGAGATTTTGCAAAATACAATTACACAAAAAGAAAAAAAAGTGCATGACATGAACCAGGACGACACGACCTCTCCTGAGAGAGGACTTGATTGCCACAAATCGTGTCCGGAGGCTTAGGATTGTCATTCCACGTTGGTTACCAGTTGATAGTAACTTGATACCTGATTATCGATATCCGAATGTACAGGTTGCTTAGGGTAAGTTTCCTATGTAGATCATACACGTGGTTATGTGCATGTCGTTCTGCATTTTAATAAACTACGTTCTTAACTCCCAAGTGCATGGGGTATTGACTTTTAATACAATGTTTGTACATCATATGAGTTTCGGTGTATTTCGAGAGACTGAGACCTAATACCGTACCCCATTGTTTTGTTTCCCCCCCTCCTCAAATTTGGCTGGGAATCTCAGGACGACCCTCGGGCCAAAGTTGTTTGTATTGCAATTTATACGTCTTTCATTTTGGATTTTGTGATTTTTTTTCAAAAAAATCAAAGTTCTGAAAATCAGAAGTCATGTCTACCATACAAATAATTTTTATTCTCGTTACATTTTTCTCTCAACTTTGGTTTTTTTTTTTTAAGAAATGGTAGGTGTTGGATGTAAAGCTAGTACTAATCCACAGTCCTCAGGCAAAAGATTTATGTAGTGCAATGTTTTATAACATGGTTTTGTCTCAGATCCTTTGACTATTTTGAAAAATTGAACTTCTAAAAAAAACAGAAAACACAAAGAAATTCTCAAAAAAGAATTGCAACATTCTTAAAGTCCAGAGCGTCGTGTGCTCGTATTGAAAGCATAATGCGACATGAGATACACCAAATAAGAGCAAAGCAATGAAGCCAATTGGCAAAGAAAGCCCTCTCCTTGCGTCCAACATCAATGTCTCCAATGTTGCTCTCCTATATGGCGCTCGAGGCCTAGACTATAGACAAACAGTACCTACAACCTACCGGTAGGATTCCTACTGACGACGACATGTCTTTGTCAAGAGTAGCAGCTTGACAATGAATGAAGACCCTGGCTATGGTGTCCTCCTTCCACCTCAAAGTACATGTTCTCTTCCCACGCACTACCTGCACATCCCTCGTACATCCCACACTCAGCATCCATCACCCAAGGACCACTGCTTTAACCCCCTTGACTGTGGCGCAGACAGCCTGGCTATGGCTGTTGTGGGTATATGTTGCACGCAGGTAGCTCCACCCATCTTCCATAACCACTCACCTTCACCCTTCTTCCCCACCCATCGCCTTCACCTATTCCCCATAGTCATCAACTTCTCTGTCCCTTTTGCTCCCTCTTAATCTTAGTGACCTTAGCAAGAGAGGAAGGGACAGGTCATTCCACCCAAGGTCGGAACACTCCCTATCTCTAGGAAAAATATGGGGCAGAAGTTTGTTGCCTTAGGGGTCAACCCTGCTATCGACCTAGATTGAACCGTTTTTACGGGGGTGTACTCTGCTGATTTGTTGAAGACGTCCCAAACTTTTGAGATCTGGGCCTTGTGCTCGGGCGAGGGGGAGGTTAGGTGTGCGATGACTAAGGTTGGCAGTTCAACCTTCCCCTAATCTTAAGCGAAAGGGAGCTGACTTATGAGATCCTTTTGTGACCGACTTAGGTGCCACCACCGGATCGGAGCTGGTGCGAAAAGCTGGTGCGAAAAGCAACCTGGCCTAGTGCCCCATTCTATCTTCACCTTTCTCTTCTTCGTGCCTTCTCCCTTTTACATGAACCGTTTTGTATCCTCTCTCCCTTCAAGTTTCTCTCCCTCTTCTTTCGTCTGAATCTTGGTCCCGCTCCGCACTACTCTTCTCGCCTTCCTTCTTCCTGCCTTCATCCCCATATAGGAACTCCCTACCTATCCCCTCCCCCCTCATAGCGTTCAAGGCATCGGACGACATCGTGTAAGGAGGATTAATCCCCTCACATTGTAATCTGATTGCCCGTGAAAGAACTCAGGGGGATCGATATGGCTTTTTTTGGGCGATTTACCCTATTCTCTCTTCTCTCCGTCCTTCCCCCGCCCCGTTCTCTCCCATCTTCTATCTCCCTCTTCTCAACTAAAAAATCTGCAAGCGCATCCGAAAAACTCCCTCTCAACCCATCTGCTAGCTTCAAGGAAGCAGTGTCTAGATGATGTGATGAACGGCGAGTCAAAAAGTCCTGACGAGCTGACATTAGTTTTGCAAGGTTGTGCGCCAGGTGACCGCGGCGGACTACGGGATTCGAGTAGCTTGGTGTAAAAGTTGAGTTGGCGGGGTGACGATTATTGCGGTGTGGAGGTCGGTATGTGGTTGTCGGGATTGCCAATTTGCCAATACCTAGGTAAGGAAGGTATATGTGTGTACGAGGGGTTGCATGGTCCGCGACCATGATGAGAGAGCAGAAGGCTTGCGCGTCTTAATCTTCGGTTCCTCTTATTTTGGAAGCTAAAGTCCATGGCAGAATGTCGTTTTTTTCAGATTTATTTGTGTGTTTGTAACTCCTTCTCTTGCCTTAGTCCCCTTTTTCGGTTAAGCTACAGCTTCGTCAAACATTTTGACTTTGCTTTTCTCTCCCTCTTTTCCTCTCCTCCTCTCAATGTTTCCTTCATGGATGTTTGAATGTTTTGATGACTCCCTCGCCCCTACCAACTCTTGAGGTCCCATCCCACTCGTCTCGTTAAATTTTATTGGATCTCACGGGAACGAGCATCGTTGAATTTGAGAGACCAGCGAGTTTGTGGGATACTGCCCCATCCCTCCCTTGGTCCCTTGCACATGACGAATGATGAGCACCTAGGATGTATAAGTGATATTTGGCCCTTACTCGTCTTTAATACACATAATGCATTGACTGAGTTGTTGCTTTGATTCAAATTTCGATATGATTATTTTGATGCAGTATTTTCTTACTCGTGTGAATGAATGATTTGTGTTAAGACAAAGATTGAGCTTCTGCGTCCACTTATTTTTTACTATTGGAGTTTTACCGGGTGAACTCAGCTGAAAGTAAAAATCAGTTGGGAGAGAAGGATCCCTGTATGTGGTTGATAGCTGTTTCGATGTATCTCAATCTTGAACATGGTTCATTCTTATTTCCCTCCCTTGAATGAATGATGGTTGCCTTGTTGATTGGATCGAGTTGCATGGACTTATGCGTCCAGTCAGATTGTATTATGAACGGAAGACAATGAAAACTTGGTGGTGTGTCTGTTTATTCCTTTGATATACTTTCGATCGAAAAAATGGATTGAGTAGACGAGCGCAATATGCATGTGGACCGATTACACCGGTCCGACTGGGCGTCGACTTCCCATATCCCCACAACGCCCGTCCCTGTATAACGAGGAAAGAACGTGTATGTGAGTGAGATGTACAAGAAGCCGTTGCAAAGATTGGAGGGCGGCGGGCGTTATTACTTTCCTCCCTCACGGTTCATAGGTGCTGGTTTTGTCATTGTTGATACTGACTTTTCGCCTTACTTATTATTGCCTTTAAATGAATTGATTGTTATCCCTTTGACGGCGATGGCACCTCATTGGCCCAATGCTCTATGTAGCGATTGTCGTTGCATCGAGCGTTCCACTAGCGGACACGTGGCGAGGATGAACACAAGGAAAGAGCGACCAGGCTACGGCCGCTACGCTGAGGCTGTGCACGTCGGATTCTGAGCTTTGTAACAAGCGGCGTCGAGACTTAATTCGAAAATGAGATGTTGAAATTCATAAGCTGCGTTGTCTGGTCTTAATTTCTCTGGTCTTCACTGTGAATTTCGTGTGAACTCATATGTGCATGAGGTGTGAATATGTGCACTCACTGTTGAACTAAGAGGTTCATTGCATAATCATAAAGTTAAATTAAAATCTCTAACTCAGAAGGAAAACATCAAGATTCAAGAAATCTATTCCCAAATTCACAATGGACTGGTTGGGGGATCTCAGGAGCAAGGAATTGGACAGGTGGTATGGCCTGATGAGAATGAGTTTGTGATGCCTCTCAAGAAGAGTTACTTGCTATAGTTTAATGACTGGTTTGATATTCAGCCAGGGGAGTTTCTCAGAGATGCTGCATGCTTTTTGAACTGTTCCCTCCCTCGGAGTTAGCTTTAGTAGAACCTCAATGGTTTGGTGGGGGGGGGTCAGATAATGAAGAATGATCCTCATCATGAGGAGGGTTAGAACTGCTAGAGGTGCTTGTCCTATATGGCGGTCTGATCAGGACTGAAGAGGTGGTTTTGATCCTTTTGACTCTTATCAAGTTGTAATACTGGACATTTTCTGTATAAGGGACGCTGAACCCGGTTTTCAGCAGGTGATACTCCCCACCAATAGACTGGAGTCTCAACTGGGTGATTAGGAATGGCTGCTCTAATCACCATTCCTAATGACTTCAGTTGTGTTTTGATAAAAAATAAATAAATGCAAGGAACATGAATAGGGCTCAATCCTCACATAAATAATTAATTACAAAAAAAAAAATGGACATTGTTTCAGAGGCGAAAGGGAGAATCAAGGGTGAGCTAGAGTTCGACTTTGGAAGTTTGGAGGTAACGAGCTTAAGTCTTATCGACAGTACTTCCACAAGGGGGATGTATGCCGAAGGTGTAACAGATGGAAACGACACCATTTCAGCAACCTGGACAAGGTCACTTGCATCCATGTGGTCCACCTTCCGCTGAGTGTCACTCCATCGGCATGCGCAGCATCAAGGGAAGCAGCCTGTGGTACGTTGGCATGCTCAAGGTAGTGTGTGCAGACAGCATAGGTTTACCAGGGTACTCTTGTCACCCAGAGGCCTTGGGTTAGCAGATTGCCCAGTCATCAGCTGCAATGCCTGCACAGGGTTTTTGTTGGGAAAACCCAGTGTATCCTCTGTATGAAAAATTGGCTGGCACTCCCCATGCCCCAATGACGACTAGGTCGGACATCCTGCGTCGTTATTGAGGGGCTTGGTATACAATCCTTGTGAAGGTGAAGAGATCGGTGGGTATGTCACCACCTGCTAAGGGTGGTGATGGTACAAGTCCTTCACAAATTCCCATCCTCTGCATGGGGTGGTTCAGCAACCCGATGAGGGAAGGAGCTTACAACGCGCACCAATGCAAGGTGTGTGGTAATCTGTCCTTCAAGGACCCCAAGGGCAGGCTCTAGAATTCCTACAAAAACAGCGGCGATTAAGCCAAGACTTGGAAGGCTTCAACCTCTGAAGCTGTGGAGCACGGTTGCACCCCCGCCGACCACGTACCCCAACCGCCAACCGACTTGCAGCCAACTGGTCGACGGACCACCAACCGGTCGTCCGCTGAGCTTTTCTCAGATCGGATTGCGGGGCCATACTGCGCTTGCTGAGTACAGCCCAAATCCGCTGAGGAACTTTTGGTTCCCAAACTTTGTATTGGAGGGTACCTAGTTCGGGGTTCAGAGGGGCTTTGAGGGTTCTGATGTGGTTGAGGGGGGGGAACTGTTCTGCAGCATTTGCAGCATTTCAAAGGGGTGTTTGGAGGCAGCGGTGTTCAGGGGCAGGGGTGTTTGGGCGAGCAGTTGGGGGAAACTTGTCGACATTCTTGGAGATGGAAAGACGGACTCCCTGCCATCCCATGTGGGGGAAAAAAGAAAAAAAGCCAAGATCACACTCAACATCCACATACTACACACAACAAGTGCTGCAATTGCAGACAAGCATTACCTCATTAGAGTCTGACTGTCCCCGACGTCCAAAAGAAGAACTCTCTCTCTCTCTCTCTCTCTCTCTCTCTCTCTCTCTCTCTCTCTCTCTCTCTCTCTCTCTCTCTCTCTCTCTCTCTCTCTCTNCTCTCTCTCTCTCTCTCTCTCTCTCTCTCTCTCTCTCTCTCTCTCTCTGTGTGTGTGTGTATGTGTGTGTGTGTGTGTGTGTGTGTGTGTGTGTGCGTGTTTGCCCCTCTCTACCTCTCTCTCCCTGTCTCTTTCTCTCTCTCTCTCTCTCATCAGCAACTTTCATTCACTGCTGCTACTCGTGTCAGTTGAAGACGATGTCGAGAGAGAGGCATCAGATTGTACATGAAGTGGCCACGATCGTCGAGTCATCGGCCACACACTCTTTTCTGTTTTCTGGCTGTTCTCTTCAGCATTTCACATTTCACTGAAGAGGGAGACATAGGAGTGTATTGAAAGTTGACTGGATTGATGTGAGACCCTCCTGTCTGCAGCGGTACTTAAGATAGCAGGGAACAGGGAATGCAGGAAGCAGGGAAGTTTAGTCTCCTCCCCTCTCACCCTCTGAACACCCTCTCCGTGGATTTGTGCTCTGGGCCGTGGTGATGCCATGGCGGGAACGTTCTTTTCAATTGTAAGAATCTGCAAATTGCAGACTGTGAAACCTGTGCTTTTCTGGGTTTTCGTTGCTGTTCTGTGTGCTTGCTGGGTTCCTGTTGTCCGAGTGCGTGTCTGGTCTGAGTGCTTGCCGATAACAGGGTTCCATGTGCTTATGCACCTGTCTGAGAACTCTTGTGTGTGTGTGACACGCTGATGATCGTCTGTATGCTGGAATGGCCCTTGGGCCGGGCACTTACCTCGGTGGGCATGTTGACAGCCTGTGCAGCGGACAAGAAGGGGTAGGAAGGCCTAGGGGAGCCAAAATCAGGTAGTACTGGGCAGGTAGGCAGAAAGGGCAAAAAGGTCAAAAACAGGAAGAGAAAAAGCGAGGACTACATTGGGCTCGTAATCATTAGGCCATCTCCAGAAGGAAAGGTTTTACGAGGTGGAACAAGGGAGGGTTTTAAGGTAAGGGTTTTAGGGTCTTATGCATCGGGTTTCAGGTCAGGGACTGTAGGTTCTAAGGAGTTGACAGACTGAATCAGATTAAGATAGCTGTCTCAGGTGGAGCATAACCACCCAAGGCGAACGGGGTAAGGGTCGGACTGGACCAGACGTAACAAGGGGGAGGGCGTTAAACATATGCTGAGGAACTCTAGGGTAAAAGGGAATACACGTAGGGGAACATAGTGAGGGGTAGGGAGCAGGGAAAGGGCTATTAGACGTTTTCTTGGTTTATGGACCCTACTCGGCAGATCTGCACAGCAGAGCTGAGAGGGGAAAGGTATAGCAAGGCAAGCTGACAGTCAATCCTCCATGCGAATGGAGTAATCAATTCTGATCAGGGGTCCTTCGGCCGTACGGAAGGAAGCGTGTGTTTCTAATCATGATGTATTACTCTTTTGACTTGCCGGTGGAATAGGAACCGGACTGATGCTCCCCAGAATGGAAAAGGAGCGGGGGCCATAAGGTCCTGTTTTTAAAAAAAAAAAAAAGATGTCAAAAAGGTATACCTCTGTAGACCGTGGTAATATTTTAGAGATCCGGTAGGCTTAGGGCTAGGTATCAGTCCAGTAGCCCCCAGGTCTAGAGCCTGTACGGGGGAATAATCAAACTGCAAAGATGTTCCCGCCAAAAGATCGAAGAAAACGGTAGGCTGAGAAGCCGGGTAGCTTGGGAAGTTCTTGCGAGGGGGCGCAGCTGCAGCATAAGTGAAGATGCAGCGCTGCACTGCGCCTCATTCTTCATGTGGGCAAGCCGTGAGGCTGCTTGGGTGCTCACCATCGGCGGCGCTCAGTGGGGAGGAAGGCGGAGTTGGCTTCCACCTTGGCTATGGTGAGGGAAGCCAAGGAAGAGGAGGACATGGATATGGCAGAGTAGCGAGAAGGAAGGAGGAGGAAGAAGAAGAAGAAGGGGAGTGAATGAGGAAGCTTACCTTGGCTATGGTGGTGGTATCTTCATCCCCTCGGTTGGTGCTGCGCCTTGAAGGCCCCTGCTTGGGGTTGCGTGGTCAAGCCCAGCAGGATGCTCAACCAAATAGTGATAGGAGGTAGGTTGTGAAAGGTGACTTCTTGTGATGCCGACAGTAAGAGGAAGATTCGGACATTGGTTCTGTTCCATTCTTCTTCTTCCTTCGTCTATGTCTCTTTCCAATCTCTCTCATTTCAGTAGCAATTGAACAGCATTGGCTCTGAGTTTTGCAGTGTGAGATTCCCAAGATCATAACGTAATAATGAAACAGGATCTTATGGGCCTGGTTCCGTATCCATGGTGGGGAGCAGCTGCCGGCCGGTCCCTATTATGCTGACATGGCAGAGCAAGCAAAGTCACGGGTACTCGCAATGGCTTCAGTGATCATCTTCTTTTTCTTTACTTTTGTCTTCTTTTTCTTTTACTTATGTCTTCGTTTGAACTTCTTCGTAAATTTATGCGCTCTTGCGAGTCTTGTTGTGTTTTTTGGTTGGATAATAATGTTTGATAGGCGGTGAAGCTGAAATGGGAGAAGAGCCGAGAGGGGGAGAATCTCATGGGATTTTTCGTTCTTTCCTTAATTTTATGTGCTTTTGTCATGTGTTTACGCTGGATGATGATGTTTGATAGGTGGTGAAGCCAAAATGGGAGAAGACCCGAGAGGGGGAGAGTCACATGGGATGGGTGTTTGCCACGTCGGACAATGAGGAGCCTGGGGCGACCGTGGATCATTTGTATGGAGTCAGGACTGTCCGTGATCTGTATGATATGGCAGATGCTGACTACAGTCTTGGCAAGTTTTCGGTGCCAGTGCTGTGGGACAAGGAGCAGAAAACAATTGTGAACAATGAAAGCTCTGAGATCATCCAGATGTTCAACAACGAGTTCGACAAATTATCAGCCACCCATGCTGACCGGGACCTTATGCCGCCTCATCTGAAGGCAAGCATTGATGAGGTCAACGAATGGGTGTACTCGGATATAAACAATGGAGTATATAGATGTGGATTTGCCACGAAGCAGAAACCGTACGAAGAGGTAAGGCGAAAGGAAATTGATGAAAAAGTAGGGTGTTGTGATCCTGGAAATCTCACACTGCAAAACTCAAAAAGGGACAATGCTGTTCAATTGCAACTGAAAGAAAAGAGATTGGGAAGAGAAATAGACAAAGGACAAAGAAGAATGGAGAATGGAAGATGAAGAGGAGGATGAAGAAAAGCTGGAACCAATGCCGCTCTTCCCCCGTCTCGCCACCATCTCTCTCCTCCCAACATCTTATTCACTAATAATAATAAGTTGGACCATCCGCGGCAAAGCCGCGGCCCAGAGGTGGGGATGAGATGAAACGTCGAAGGCAGGCCATGTCATGCGAGGTGGGGGCCCGCCGCTGTGGAGCCACGTCACAGAAGGGGGGGGGGGGGGGGGGGGGGGGGGACACGGCCAACTTGGGTGTCGCCGCGTCGGCATGGGAACATGGCACTAGGAAAATATGTGGATAGGGGTGAAACTAAACCAAGGGTCTCGCTCGAGTACTCAGCACACGCACACACCTGGGGAAAGAAAAAACAAAGAAGACGAAAAATATAGTGGTATATCTTCCCATGTTCCAGCAGAAGACTCGTTCTCATTTTGCAGAATTGGTGAGTAGTGGAGCCAGGCCAAATGGAGGGACCACGGCCCCTGCGGAGGGACGCGGCCCTCACTCCAACGCTCACCTTGGAGCCAACCCAAATCGAGGGACCAGGGTCCCTGCGTAAGGATGCGGGTCTCACTCCACTATTCACCACATGCACAAAAGGCAAAAAAGTATGGCACTGTATATACCCATGTTCCAGCAGAAGATTCGTTCGCATTCTGCACAAGTGAGTAGTGGAGCCAGGTCCCCACACGGAATGGCACGCCTGAACAGAAAAATGGTGGCCTCACTCCACTGCTCATGACGCGCACAGAAGACCAAAAATATGGTGGTGTATCTTCCCATGTTCTAGAGGAAGATTCATTCTCAGTTTGCACATTTGGTGAGTAGTCGAGCCAGGCCAAATCCAGGGACAGCGGTCCCTGTGAAAGTTGTGGGCCTTGCTCTACTACGCACCACATGCACTAAGCTTTTTTTTCCTTTATTCGTGTCGTTTTTCGGTTGTAATATTTTCTACAGCCGAAAACAGATACCAATAAAGGGAAATATAAAAAAAGGTTTCCGGGAAAAGATGAGGGTTTCTTCGTGTGGCACAATGGTGGATGCCATTGCCAACGAGTGAGGGGGAGGAGATCAGGGGTGTGGGCGTAATGAAGCCTGCCAATTGTATTGGCTGGAAAAGGTGATTGATGGCCGCGGGAAAATGGAGATGGTTGAATGGAAGGATTGCGGCACTGTTACGGTCAAGCCGACCATGAAACATGGCAGTAATGGCGGGAGCTCAGATGAGGGTTGATCAACGATGGGGGGAAGGAAGGGTTGGTTGTGGATCGTGAAGGAATGTACGCCGCCGCTGGCAGATATGGCAGCCTTGTTCTGATAAGGATGGTGTATGACCTGGACACAGCCTAACTCAATGACTTGAGTCTGTGTGGAAATGTTTTGAAGGGGTTCGGTGAATTTCTCTCGTCCAACAAAACAGCGTTCGACCGCATAGATGATCAGATGGATGTGCTTCTTCCAACTAGAACTAACAAGGTAGGATGCCTGTTTCTTTGTTGTCTCTCCTGCCGTCCTCTCCCGTTCCCTCTTCTTCCCCTGTTTGCTTTCCCTCCTCTCCCCATCTCTCCTCCCCTGCTCTTCTGTCCTGACCCTTCCTCTTCTGCCCTTTCCCTGCTTCCTTTCCCCTCGTCTCAGTGACATCATCTTCGCTCTGCTCAAATTGCCTCACTCATCTCCACCGCCTCTCCACCTCAGCTCCACCTCAGCTCCACCTCAGCTCCACCTCGGCACCACATCATTTTTATTTCATTTCCAATTTTCCACCTCATTTTGTCATGATTGGACTGCTGGGGTGGCTACTGAAGTGAAGCAGTAAATTTGCGCAGCTGAATTTGTGGGTGCTCTGCGCTGCTGTAGAGATGAGATCAAATTTGTGACACCTTACAGGAATTCAATCAGCAGCTAGGCTACCAGTCGGGCCGCCCGGGTCCCGGGTGGCCAGCCCGTGCAAGGACCAGCGAAGGTCCCAGCAAAAAAAAAAAACAGAAAAACAAATCCAAAAAATCCGACAACAAACTATGTTATGCAGAAAAATAAACTGAACAACTTTTGCCTCAGGGTCACATCAAAATTCTTCACCAAATTTAAAATAAAAATTAAATTTTAAAAATATTGTTTTTTTTTTTTTTTTTTTGGCCCGGCGGGGCAAGTGACCCCGGGCCACTCTGGTAGCCTGATTCAACAGTAAGTTTGCACAGCTGGATGGAGGAGCCTGCACTGGCTCTACCTTGCCCTGACCGCTCCATGTGGTGTGCAACTATGGGCGTCATTTGCATTATGAATGCTATTGAAAGGGCCATGAAGAAAAAAAGGTTTGTTTATTCGGGACATCGGGAAGGTGCCACTCTGCTGGAAACCTTACAAAACCATTCCCAAACCAGCGAAGTGTTGCTGTGACGGTTGGTGTTGCAATTAATGTTGGACATATGCCTGATCGCTGAAAAGGATTCTTGAGTGCGCTATTGAAAAGAGTAGAGCTGCTAGAGCGTACTGCCTGCAGTGATTTGAGTGTTAACAAATCTTCCCATGTGAATGATTAGAGTGCTATTTAGTTATAAAAATCCTCCCCCCCCTCTCCTTGTCCTGACCATTTTCCCAAGACTGGCAGACGGGTTGCGCGGGAGCGTCACGAGAGACCCGGCTTACATTTTAGTATAGTGTAGATATTAACAATGACAATGAATGAATGAGCCGGAATCAATTTCTGAGTACTCCCCTTTCTGCCGGCCACTCAAGAAGTCTACCATAGCCATTCTACACCTTCTACTGCTAGGTCGAGCTGGTGGCTATCGCGGACCATCGGAGCCCAGCTCCGGTGTTCAAAAGGACAGCGTATAAGGCCGCTATGCCCCTCCCACTAGCACCGCCTTGGCACATCGCAGTGCCAGAGTCTTCCTTCGAAATATAACCCCACTACCGGTAGTGGCCTTCCACATGCAGTGCCAAGTTGCCAACCATGAAGATGAAGATGCAGACCACCATAGCCAAGGTAGGCTCCCTCCTTCACTCTTCTCCTCCTTCCTCCTCCTCCCTTCTTTCTCTTCACTTCTCCTCCATAGCCATGTCTTCCTCCAACTCACCTTGGACTGCTTCACCATAGCCAAGGTGGGGGCCAAACTCCACCATCCTCTCACCCAGCGCCACACCAGGCTGGTGAGTGCTCCAGCAGCCTCACGGCGTACAACTTGGAGAATGAGGCTGAGCTCTACGCTGCCTCCCTTGATATAACTTCATCCTGTGACATCCAGGCCACGACGGTCTCCAAGGTTCCCTCCCATTTTAGTGGGAACATCATTGTAGTCTGATCTCCCCTTTGTATGCTCTATATCTAGGCCTATTGAACCAGTACCTACCCCTAATCCTACCGGAGTCTAAAATACTAACTAGGTCTACCTCAAAGGTATTATTACCTTTTTGTCATTTTCTGCTACCTACCCGCTACTAGATTTCAGGCCTCTGCGGGCCTCCTTTTCTCTACTCTACCCGCTGCACACCGAAAACACATGGCCAAAGGTCAGTACCAGGCTCGCGAGTGATTCCAGCACATAGACCATCATCAGCGGGTCACACACACGCACACTAGTTCTCAGACAGGCAGGTAAGTGCACGAGCCAAGAATATGCGCAACCACACGGAACAGACACACTCAGACAACGGGAGTCCAGGCTCGCGACCGATTCCAGCACATAGACCATCAGCAGCAGGTCACACACACACACACACACTAGTTCTCAGACAGGCAGGTAAGTGCACGAGCCAAGAATATGAGCAAGCACACTGAACAGACATGCACTCAGACAACGGGAATCCATCAAACACTCGGATCAGCAGCCCGAACCAAAGAAAGCACAGGTCATATGCTGCAATTTCGCAGGTTAGCGAGGTCCCTTTGAGCAGCTAGACCCTCCGGAGTCCTGGCAAAATGCATCATAAGCAGAAAATGGAAAGAAAACGATCATTTGTTCATGCGGGGTGAGACGCTTGTGGGGTTGATATGTGTTCACCACCCGAGGTGCACACTTGATTAGAACTTTACGAGAGATCCAATAGAGTTCATCAAGAAATGGACTTGATGTTTTTTTGTCCTGGGCTTTTCCTTCATGGGCATACGTTTTGTCAACTTCGAATCCGCCGTCAATAGAGTGAGGGTCCATAGGATCGTGATCAGGAAAGGAAGTAGAAGCAGTGTAAGGGTACAACTTAAAAACATGAAGCACTGGATGCTGGCATACATCAGGAGGCAAGTTAACCACATAGGGAGGACTGGAGTCGTCATCCCCTACGACTTTCAGAACCTGCCATGGGCCGTAGTACAGTGGGAGTAATGCACGAGGTACACGTTCCTCATTTGAACCCAAACATAGTCTCCTTCCTTAAGAGTTGCAGGCCTACGTCGGCGATTGGTAAATTTGATCATGGCATCCTGTGGCTTGTTCATTGCTGCGATCGGAACTATGAGCAAGGGTTGATACTTGAATCCATAGCAAGGCATGCTATGGTTCAAACTAGCAGGGCAATCAGGAAGCGGGAAATCAAGAGGGTTGTGGAACAGCCGTTGATCTGTAGCTCATTCGGAGTACTAGTTGTGGAGTGGATAGAGTCGTTGTATAACCCCTTGACCGCATCCAACTCTTTATCCCAAGTGTTCCCATTGGGGGTAATCAAAGCGCGTAGGAGATGGCTATCTGATTCATATCTTCAGCTTGCCCATAAGTTTCCGGATGGTGACCAGGTGTGATCTGGTAGACCTGCGTACTGAAGTCTTTCCAATCAGAATTGATGAAAGTAGTATCCCGATCACTGGCGAGAGTTTTATGGGGGGCATGCTGTAGAGTGTACT